TAATATATTGTGCCGTTTCGTATATCAAATTTTGAGTCAGTGGCGTAGCCAGGATCGTCTCAAGGGGGGGGTCCAATTTTTACCCGGGGACAAACTTTCGATTTGCACCCCCCCCCCTCAAACTTTCGATTTGCACACCCCCCCCCCTCAAACTTTCAATTTGCACCCCCCCCCCTCAAACTTTCGATTTGCACACCCCCCCCCCCCCTCAAACTTTCAATTTGCACCCCCCCCCCTCAAACTTTCGATTTGCACCCCCCCCCTCATACTTTTTCTATATACCGAGGGGTCTATGGGGGGTTATGACCCCCCCTAACCCCCCCCCCCCCTGCCTACGCCACTGTTCTGAGTATCCTTATAACAATATATATATATATATATATATATATATATATATATATATATATATATATATATATATATATATATATATATATATATATATAAGAATATTTTACACGTAAAATACTCAATTCTTAATAGAATTTTACAAAGAGAACTTACGAGTACAATTGCCGGGTGTGGACCATTGAACAGTCCCTTTACTTGTAGTCCGACATGATGTGTACGTAGGTGCACTCGCTGTGTAGCCGACGTCGCAGACAAAATGACACAGCATGAAGATGGAATCGAAACACGGATTCAACCAATGGCCGTTGGCTATAGCTGGTGCTGGGCCACAGACCACGCCTCTCGCTGGCGTCCAAGGAGAGAGTTAATCAAATTATTGTATGTTTTCCAATTTCTCTTTAGTTTTACGTTATGATATGCGTATGTTGAAGCAAGATTATAATGATATTGCGTAACTAACAGTAATGGACGTCCATGGAGAGAATTAATCAAATTATTATATCTTTTCCACTTTCTTTAGTTTTACGTTATGATATGCGTAGTTGAGCTAACAGTAATGTTTATGGGACTGCTAAGTCTCAATTTCGAAGCCGGGTTCAAGTCAGTAGACCGTCCTCCCTGAGTCCACCCAACTCTGATGGGTACTTAACTCACGCCAGGGAAAGTAAGGGCAGCTAGGCATAGTGCGGACCAGACTATCCTTTCATATCCCTTGATCTCTGAAACAGATGCACTCTACCTCACCTACCCCATGTGACTTTGGCACGAACGGGAAAGTACTATGAAGAACGGCAACAAACAGCACTGGAAATAACTGAATGCAGGTATTTTGATGACTAATAAAGTTTATGAGATATAATAACTCCGAACCGTGTTTCTTCCAGACATCTCTTCGGTGGTCCGACCCCCCCACACCGAAGAAAGTCTACCCCCACCCCCACCCCTATCCCCCGAAAATATATACTCTAACTTTGTCCCCCCCCCCCCCCCCCCCCCAAGAGAAAATGTCAGGAAGAAACACTGACTCTAAATATGTAGGTTTTTAACGTATAGACTGAAGCAACCAACATGAAACGATGATTTGACAATGTCGAGTAATACCTCCACTATGAAGACATAAAACACCGAATACAAAAATCTCGATGACCATATGTAGCATCTGCAAGACGAGTAGTTAATTCACCTGTACAAGCAACAAATGTTTATATAGTACTTGTGTATTCCGCAGAGGCATTTTCATTTTAAAGAATTCAACGTTTTTATTTTAACTTCAATTTTTTTTTTAAACAAAATTATTAGGCCCAATTCTCAATGGTCTATAAAATGAAACATCAAACAGTTAGGCTTTTGTTTTGTTTTTCTTTACAAGGGTATTGCAACTGACAAAAAATCATTATCAAGTTTTGTCATACGTTGCTAGCTATTCTATTTATAATGCTAATTGCATTTAATGTGTACGCCTAATCAGAGGCGTAGCGAAGAGGGGGCGGGTGGGTACATATGCCCCCGGGCGCCGACCTTAGGGGGGCCAAAATAAGTTTGAAAAAAAAATTAAAAGCTCATTTTAGCTACAGTTTTGTATTATAAACATTACAAATATATGGGGGGGGGGGGCTAATTGAAACTTTGTCCCCGGGCGCCGAGAGGGGTCGCTACGCCACTGAGCCGAAGATGCTTAAGCTATACAAGTCAAGGTATATCATTTAGTTAGATCTAAATCTAAAAAAACTAGTTTTAGTAACAAAGCAGAGAATTTTAATAAATATTTACTCTTTCCAAATTTTAATAGCCAAGTGAGACGATGCCTCGCGATTAAAATAAATTTAGAATCTAGTTTAGAGAATTAAGCAATACGAGCCGACCCGCGGCATATCATACGCCGCTATTTAGTTGTTGTTTTTTCTACTTTTCAGTTATTCATAATTTGTGAATTCGACACTACCAACGCTGCCACTGAAAATATTTCTTTAAAACACTATAAGTAGCTCTTTAAGGATGATAACCCCCTCCCTCCCCCCCCCCCTCCGTTAAAGTAAACTCCACTTAGTTACCCCCCCCCCCCCCCTCCCCCCCTACGTTTAAAATCGTTTCGAACTAAATTATCTGCCCCTAATAGTCGTCACTAAACCCGGCTCTGTTTGTAAACATTTAGAGTGAACCACAGCTCATCAAACCTTGTAGGGGTGGGGGTGGTAGGGAGCACGTTTACAGCTTGTTTTCTAGCGTCTCCCAGAAGAGAATTATATATATAGATTCTGTACGCTTCCGGCACTCTTTGTAGTTATTTTAATGAACTCTACGGGTGTGTAATACGGACCATTTTAGTCTAATATTTGAAACTCATTTTATTTTACATCTGAACATACCGGAAGAAGAAAAACTTCAAGTGTTTAATGCCGGCGCTGTTTAGTGCGTCGTGTAGATCTATATGTTTACAAATTGCAGTTTTTATTTTTGAAAAGGTATTTTACTTTCTAAATACAGTGTTTGTTTTGTTACCATTTGTATTATTGCCTGTTATACTAAAACAATATTGTCTAGCTGATTTATAACTTTTAAAAAGTTGCAGCCATATAACAAGATGGTCTTGTAACAAACATGTAACAAATGTTGATAAAGTTCTTAAGCCACTATTATCTCGGGGACCAACCAGCTTTTTAAGTAAGAAAAATCATGTAAGAAAAATCAAGTAAGAAAAATCAACAAAGAAAAATCAAGTTAGGCCTACACAGACGAGACTAATTTTCTTCATAGTTTTGGAAGAAAAACAAGCAGGGATCTTTTTGAGGTAAACACCAAAGTTTCTCTCCCGCCACACAAAACTGATTATTAAAAAGAGGATACGAAACTTGTACTTAACGTTTTTACTGAAAAGGTTGAAATTGGAACAGGCCACAAATAATTAGCTTGAAAAGGTCTGTATTTCGGTACCATTAACCCTAAACCTCAAGGCTGTGTGCATTAAATTGAAGCTGAAAAAAAAACGTGACGGGACTTAAATTTTCTTGCGTGCAATTAGCACAAGTGGCGGAGCTTATCTGCAGAGTTTCTTCCAGGCATCTCTTCGGGTTCTCGCATTTATATAGAAAAAATATACTTTTACCAGAGTCCAACTCCCCCCCCCCCCCGGAAAATGTTGTTGTCCCCCCCCCCCCCCCCCCGAAAATATCAAGTGCCCTCCTCCCTCCCGGAGAAAAGTCTGGAAAAAAAAACTGCTTATCTGGTAATTCCCCCCGTAGGCCTACTCGGAATCTTTATCCCACAGGATTAGCCAATAACAAGCGATGGGTTAAATTGTCCCAAATCCTATTTTTAGCGCAATTTCCATTCTGGAGAATTGCGTTTATTAACCCGTCATTTCTGGATGTATGAATGAATGGATGGATGGATGGATGGATGTGTGTCCGCAGCTTTAAGTCGTATCTCCTCCTCAACGAAGCAATATCGATGACTAGTTTCAAAAGCAATTATGTTAAGCAAGTTACGAGGATGAACATAGGCCATAAAAATTACGGGTTTCTTTCATGGATTTCCCGGAAAAGCCAAAAAAACCTCGAAAAAATGCAGTTTTTGGCCCATATCTCGGCAACCAGACCACTAAGCGACTTGAAACATGTACCAATCGATTCCTGCCATAATTTAGAACAATATTGCCGAAGAAAGTTTTCAAAAATATTCTTTCGTTCGGTCACAAAAATTTTTTTGAATTAATTAAAATTTGGACCGAAGTAGTAGGCATTTTATGCAACCACACCACACGCGTCATCACGTTCAATAGCTGCGCCATCACGTTCAATGGCTGCGACGTCACGTTCGGTAGCTGGGCGCGCAATGGTTTTTAGTCATGTTACTCTATTATAAATAAAACATGTAAAATACTGAAAAAAAATTAATAAAAAATGTTTTAATAACTAACCAATGGTTTTACTAACCCTGCTCTTGATTTACGCTACGACAGAGCTATTTTTAGATAACACAAGGAAATTGCGCTAAAATTGTCACTAGACTTTTTTTAATTACTTGTTTTCTATTCTTGTTTTATTCAGAAGTAGGAACGTGTTTACTGTGGTAATTTCACTTGAAGAAATTTAACTATAGACTTTTGATGATAAATAACGTTTAAAATACTGTAATTTCTACCACCTGCAGTTTAAAACAGCGATTTTATTACTTGCATTTGTTTTAATATTAATGCTTAAGAGCTCCTATCCTTTTAATGTCTTTGGACGGTCCAAGTTGCCTTCCCCCTACCTCTTGGGTGATTTGTAACAATTCTCACACCAGATGGTATAGAATAATGTGAGACCGGAGTCTCTCCAGCATTAGTAAAACATTTACAGCTGTTGGAGGGGGGGGGGGGGGATGGGGGATAAAAAAAGCGTGTCTCCCTTCTTAGTGTTGCTAATAAAGACACAATTTTGTTATACATAGGCCTATTAGTTTTAGATTTAAGAATGTTTGTCAGACTATTTATAAAGTTAATATTCAACAAGTAATGTCATTTTACCATCTTATGACGAAAATTTATATAATTCACAAATACAACAGGGATATAAATAAAATAACACAATTAAAAAAAACACTTGAATTTGATTTAGTTATTAAATAATTTAATAATAAGTCAAACTTAAGGAAAAATAACTGTTGTAGTAAAGCAGATGTAGGCTAATTTCATTTGTTGTCAATTTAGGTTAAACATTTAGTGAAAAGGATGTTGTTAGAAGCTATCTATTTGAAATTTTTGACTTTGAGTTTCAATAACATCATAATCATTGTTGATCATCTCATATGGATCAATGACATCAATATATGGGTTGTTGATTTCCTCTATTGATACATCCAATTGTTTGATTTCTATAACAGGTTGACCACTTGTAACTTTCTTTGTCTTTTCTATAAAAATGAACAAATACAATGCTTTAAAAGTATATGAACAATATTTACATAATACAAATATTAGTTTCCATGAACTAAATTTAAATAAACCAAAAATACTACATTAAGTAATACTACATTAGGCTTTACAAAATTTGATAATAGAAAAATATTCCATAATGTTTATTGAATAAAATTGAACTATTAAAATGATGTCAGTGTTTGCTAAAAAGTGTTATGTTTCTTACTTGGGCATTTAAAAATCCACAATGCAACAGTTGCAAGAATTAAAGCTACAGCGCTAATGCTTGAAGCAATGATGATCACACCTTTATTCTCTTGCTCAGTATCTGTCAATACAATTAATTGTAAACAACATTGCAATCAAAATAACTGTTTGTTTTATCTGATGTTCTTAAAGTTTTATTAGACAATCACCCTCAAATTTTACTGAAATACATTTTTCTAAGCTTTTACTGATAGAAGTATATATGCCTTAATTTTAATTGTGTAATTTCTAACTTTCAAATAATTTTATTGATTGAGATATTAGAAGATGTGTTATCTCATAAGCAAAACTGAACTAATTATTGCAAATCAATTATTTTTAATTCAAAAGCTGACTTAATTTTAAACCACTTGTACATAAAATATTAAATGTTTTTATTTCTTCAAATGTATTTTTTTTAAATTAAAGAAATCTCAAATTTTCAACATTCTCCACTAATTAAAACTGACATAATTGTATCAAAGTGTTTACAGTATAATTAATAATTAAGCACAAATATGGAAAATAACATCAAGAATATAGGCCCACCTTCAATAATGGAGAAACTGTACACAAGAACTCCAAGACTGTTGTCAATATAAACACTCATATTTGTAAAATCTGACTTCTGGAGGTTGAAGATAGTTAAAACAATTGTTCCATATGGTGGTACTTCATGTTTATATTCTATTTTATAAGATGAGTTTGTATCACTTTCCTGGTTTGTTTCCATTCTGTCAGTTAGATTTTTAATCAGCCAAAATTGTTTCGGGCCTGGATAACCAAAGAATTCAATTTGAATGGAAAAGTCTTCATGGGTCCTTCCATAATAAGTTGATGCATTTGTTCCAGGATATTTTAGCTTTAGAGGACCTGAATATAGAATTCGAAAATACAACATAATATTTATGAAACTTTAAAAATATGAGTTTTGATTGGTAATGCCCAATTAATATGTTAAATTAATTAGTTTGGTTGTTTGGCTTAAGTCAGCAGGATAACAGTTAGCGCACTTAGCTCTGGGAATATGAAGGTGGCTGGACATAGTGTTTACAACATTTCCCTAATTATTATTTTTTATTGGGACCATCTGGTATAAATAGGTGAATTGCATGTTATAGTTTTAAAATACAAAACTATTTGGTATTAAGTAACCCATTAATTACTCTAAAAATATAAAAATTGATGCAAACAAATAGAGATAAACTTGGATATATTTTAATGAAAATTCATTCACTCTCCTAATGAATAAAATAATTCTTGCCTAATTTATTTAACATCCATTCTAACACTGTGTTTACACTTGTGACATGTATACTATACATACTAGAAAAAAAGTGCAAGTAATAAGCCTATAAATGTTCAGAGGGAAAAATGTTTATATAATTTGTTGTGAGTTTGTTTTCCAAGACATGTATAATATTAATGTCGCAAGTGTTAACCTTGTGTATTATTACTGTTGAAGTTTTGTAAGTCAACTTACACAAAACTGAAATATTTATGCTTCTCTTGAATTCCACACTATTTCTAGATGCCAGACAAAAATAAACACCAGTGTCATAACAACCAACAACTTTCTCCCACACCAAAGTTGCGTTGTTTGACTGCTGTAGTGGCACTCTCCGGGACTGATCTAAGTAGAGCATCAATGTAGGGGGTGGGTTGCCCTCTGCTTCACAAGTTAAATTAAGAACAGATGATTTGTTCAGTGTTGCTGCACTACTACTTTTTCCATTCACTAGGAAGGATTTTATCCTGGGATAATCTATATTAGAAACAAAAATATTAATTAATTAATTAGTTAAAGAATTTAAATACATTTAACCAAGAGGACTGATTTCTTTAGAGACAAAAAATTGTAAATATTGGTGAATACCAATTAATGAATAACCTTTTAATACACAATCAATTACTTTAAACAATTTGTATAATTAGCATAATGACAATATACTGTTAGAAAAAACACAACTATGATCAGAAATATTCCATCGATCACAAATGCAAATTACTTGCAACATATTGTCAGCAGTATTAGTAAATTTATGTTATAATTAATTAGTGAATAGTAAAATAAATTCCTAAAATCTGTGTACATTATTTCTGCTTCACACGGAACTGTTTTACTATACTTTATGAAAACTTTGAATAGCTTTCTATATTCTAGGACTAAACAAACAGATTAATTTTTCATTATAGTTTATACAAAAATCTTACAGTGAACATAAATGTGAAGGTCTGTAGTGTTGCTGTAGCATTGAGTGATATGTGAAGCTTCACAAGTGCAAGTGATGTTGTTTTTACTTCTGGATACATTCAGGTAGGTGTCTTGTCCACCAGATAAGGATATCAACTCTTGGCTGCATGACAGTCTGACATTCTGTACTGCTGGGTGCCCACCTTTGGCATAGCAGTTTATACTAAACATTCCTTCATCTAGTTGAAAAGATGTTGATTCCTCTGTGCTGTATGTACTCAGCCAGTTTATTCTGTTCAGCTCTATAATAGGTCTGAATGGGGGTTCTGAAAATGACATTGTTTAATAGTCTTGTAAAAAAAACTGTAACACTTTCGGTAATGTAATAATTTATTATGCCTACATTTTACAAATGAAGATATGCCGATATGTTTTTGTACTTTTTTATCAAAATAAAATTCATTGAAAAATCTATTGAACCTATTAATAGAAAAAGCATAGCAAAAAAGTAGGCTTATTGTTCTTGTAAGCTTTTTTAAATAAAAGAAATAACAATACACATTGATTGCTTCAACCAGCTTAATTAATTTGTTTAAAGGGAAAATGTAATATTCAATTATTACTTATGGTAAATTTTGAATTATTAAAACTGAGTATAGAGTATTTTTTAACATATTTTATAAAACTACACAGCTGAGAAATGTTGAAAGCATTTTCTGTTTTATAAAGCAAGCCATTAATAATTGCTTTCTTTAATTGCAATTATTTAGTAAATTTTATTATTTTTTTACTGCATCTTATTTTTTACCAATCTAACATTCCACTTAGCTCATACCTTGTATTTCCAATGTGAAAGCTGTTGAGTTGAAGATCTCTGGAAACTGTGAATTTCTAGCAAAACAAGCTATGGCATACACTCCCCCTTTAAAGAACAAGAACTCATGTTGACTTATGTAGTGGGATTCATTGCTTACTTCCCTTGATTTGTCTGTTACAAATATTGAGTTTATTTGAAAGGCAAATCTGACAGAAGGTCTAACTTCCTTCTTTAGAACACTACATGTTGCCACAACTGACACATTGTTCTTATAACACAAGTCCTTGTCTCTTACATCCATATTCAGCATTACCTTGTCAGGTCCATCTAGCAAGGAAAAAATCATAATAAATGTTACATCACATCCTTTAAGCATATATACATACAGTTAGTTTATTTTACAAGATTTTTGTTTGATTAATTGCTTACAAGTTATTGTGGGATGAAAGGAAACGGTGGGGCTTCTCCATCCAATGGCACTAATTGAATAACACTTGTAGGCTGAAAAGTTAAACAAAATCTACATTACAGAATTAAATAAATAAAACAAATAATGTAAACATATCATTTGTAGAGAACAAAAGTATATTTATATTAACGTAATAATACTGACAAAATATTCTAATTCAGATGATTTCCTGAGAGTATAATATTTCAGTAATTTAAGCTAAAAGTTGTACAGTGGTTCAGATACATTATTTTTTTAAGAACATTGTTGTGGTGTTGAACCTAAATAGTCATGTGAATAAAAAGCTAGTAAATCAAATAGTTAAACATTTACACATTTTAATTCAACATTAAAATTAGCACTGGATTGTACAGAAAAGATTTTCTTGAAATGTGCTTAAAAAGCAACCAATCATAGCATTAAACAAAGCTCCAAAAATAAATTAACCAAAATAGGAATTTAACTCTCATCTAGTGAGTAGCATGATGATTATATTGTTAAAGTTTAATTTTGTCGCTAATGAATCATTTCAGAAGCAAAACATAATTTAGTAGCTAAATTTCATACTTTGTGATGCTCTTGAAGCAGTAGTTAAAATAACAGGAGCATTCTTTGAGTAGTTGACTGGACTTTCATTGCCTTGATAGAAATATATTTCAGAAAAAATGCTGCTTGTATTAGACTGTTGGCAACTACAGTTTATGAGAGCCCCTTCTTTTATGTAGCCAGTAGGACAGTCTTTAAAATAAACTCTGGGGAATTCTGTCTCACTCTCACAAAATAAAATGTTATTTTAAATTAATACTAAATTAATCACATCTTTGGATATTAAATGTTTTGAAGAATAATTTAAATATTATCATATAATGCAAACTATAAAAATAATATACATATTTGTTTATATTTGATTAAATAAGATAAATAATAATAATAGTTCCAGCTACTGTACACATTTGTTTCACATTGTGTAATTGTATTTAACACCAAATTACCAAAATTTATTTTACTAAACATTTCAGTTGTCTTGGCATTGTTTTATAGGGCCTATGATTATCAAACATTACTTACTATCATTTCAAGTTTTAAATTAAACATCTAGTTTTAAACACATAATGTAATTCACCTAAATTAAGTATCACTGTTGTATTCTCGCCATATGTACCATCTTTGTCCCTGTCTGTAACATTGGGATATACAGTGACCCTCAATTCATAATGACCTTCTGCTACAACTGGTACAGTGATGGAGCACTGAGTGCTGAAGTACTCAGGGGTCCCAGGTGACCCAGGTAGCTGGGTGTGTCTGTATGTTACAGTGTACAGCTGGTGAACTGGGTTCTATAAAACATACCAAGAAAAAATTTTATTATTTCGTTACAAGGAGACATTGTTTTCTTAACCTAACTATTAAAAATAAGGAAATCCTATGCCAAAGTCACAGAAAAATGTGAAATCTCCTTCATTTGCCCATTTACCATAGATTCAAAGAGGGTTTAATTATAATGGTTGGTACATCAAATATTCTAATTAGCTTTAAATAGTAAATATGATTCTACAATGTTTAATAACATTTCTTTTCAATACATGCCATTAAATGCACACCAAAAAAATTGTGACTGCTAATCTATGGCAGACAATCTGGTCAAAGTTAAGTAAAAACCTGTTTTACATGTAAAGTAACATTTTGGTATTATTTAACTCATTGTTATATCTTAACGTCTTTGTTTCAACTTGTAAAATATATAGTTTCTATAATGTAATTTTTTTTTAATAAGCCTACTTAAAAAAAATTCAAACAAGCTAACTAGAGTAATTAAAACTTTTTACTTCCTTGAATTTTTCTTTACCAACTATTCATGAATTTAAAATAAAACCACTTAAAGTGGGATATTTTACCCCATCAATGATCATTGAGAAAAAACACTTAGCAGCTGGGTAGACTTTGACTGTTGTACACTGTATATGTAACTCATTCTTCTTTGCTTCAACAGTACAGGTCACATCCCTTGGTTTGTCTATTCATGATCCACATGTAGTATTCAATCATAGAAAAATAAGAATGTATAAGAGTTAACAATGTATGTAGAGCTGATGAGGAGAGAGTGGTGGAGTCTGTCTGAAAAGGATGTGATTCAGTCACCAGCTTCAATGATTAATTACATGGCATAGGCTGATGTTAATTTGCTACTTATACAAATATAGTGGTTATAGTATACTTTATATATATATATATATATATATATATATATATATATATATATATATATATATATATATATATATATATATATATATATATATATATATATATATACATATATATATATATATATACATATACATATATTTATATATATATATATATATATATATATATATATATATATATATATATATATATATATATATATATATATATATATATATATATATATACATATACATATATTTATATATATATATATATATATATATATATATATATATATATATATATATATATATATATATATATATATATATATATATATATATATATATATATATATATATATATATATGGTCATATAGCTGCTAACCCTAAAGTCTTGAATTTGAATCCTGCATTCATTTCCATAGAGCATCATTGAGTTTACGCTGCTTTGATAGAAATCTGAATAACATTAGGAAAGTGATTGCGGTTGGGGCCACACTAATCCTTCATATGCTGAGGTAACTGAAACAGGTGAACTCTACTTCATCTGACCCATGGACCATAATGTTTGAAAGGGCAATTTATATATATGTTTTTGTGCTTGTGTGTATGTGTTGAAAAAATACACTACAATTAAGTCACACTAAAAATAAAAAATACATTTCAGCCTAGATAATACTAGCCATGTCAGCCAAAAATACATGCTAACATAAATACAAAAAGTTGTTTTGATCAATCTAAGGCAATACATTCCACACAGGAAACATACAATAAACTTTCAGAAAACAGGTGAAAATGATATCAGCCATGTATTTGATATCTCTACAGCAATATATTCTACACAGAAAATGTAAGGTACTTACAGTAAACCTTCAGATGACAGGTGAAAATGACATCAGCTGTGTAAATGTCAACCTGTGACATCCCCAATGACCAAACACCGTCAGCATTCTTTACATCCGGCCACCGTGTGGTGTTAAAAATGGTCAAGTTGACCGTCACTGACCTCCCATCACTCTGTACAGAACTCTGGAACCAGTCTTTGAAGGCACTGTTCAAACAGTTGGAGTTGGCTGAACATTCTGAGACATGCTCCTGATTAAGGCTCCAGCTAAATACACTGTCTGGTTGAGTAGTGAGATCAAGGTGGCTGGTGTGTGTCCATGGTGTCCCCTCTTCTGATGGTTCACATGATGATACAAGTCTCACTAAAAGATAAATGATGAAACAAGTCTCACTAAAAGATAAATGTTGAAACAAGTCTCACTAAATAATAAACGATGAAACAAGTCTCACTAAATAATAAACGATGAAACAAGTCTCACTAAAAGATAAATGATGAAACAAGTCTCACTAAAAGATAAATGATGAAACAAGTCTCACTAAAAGATAAATGTTGAAACAAGTCTCACTAAATAATAAACGATGAAACAAGTCTCACTAAATAATAAACGATGATACAAGTCTCACTAAATAATAAACGATGATACAAGTCTCACTAAATAATAAACTATGAAACAAGTCTCACTAAAAGATAAATGATGAAACAAGACTCACTAAAAGATAAATGTTGAAACAAGTCTCAATAAATAATAAACTATGAAACAAGTCTCACTAAATAATAAACTATGAAACAAGTCTCACTAAATAATAAACGATGATACAAGTCTCACTAAATAATAAACTATGAAACAAGTCTCACTAAAAGATAAATGATGAAACAAGTCTCACTAAAAGATAAATGTTGAAACAAGTCTCACTAAATAATAAACTATGAAACAAGTCTCACTAAATAATAAACGATGAAACAAGTCTCACTAAAAGATAAACGATGAAACAAGTCTCACTAAATAATAAACCAAATGTATTTGTAATTATGGTGGCTAGTAAAAAGAAATTAAAAGTTTAGTAAAAATCATAGAAAGTACAAGTTGTTGTTTTTGTTTATTTGTGGGCCAATGGAAAGTTGTAAATAAATACATAATTACCTTTAAAAAATAAATAAAGACACATCAACACCAAATCAATAATTCTGATCATGTTCGTGTGAAATTTTTACTATTGTCAATTTACATCCTATTAAAGCTTTTGCTATAGATCTAGATAAACTAGTCAATGTAAAAGAAAACATAATCTGCATAGCAAAGATTTACTTCCCCTCTGTGTTGATTTTGGCTTTGTTAGTTAACAATAGTTTAATTTCTTCACTGTTAAAAAATTAAATAATAAGAGCATTGTGATCCAATTATAGAATTACTGCTCACAACCTGCGCTTGATAGACACAGCAATGTTTAAGTGTATAAAGCTTAAAGCTCGTAATCTTTTAATTACATCACAAATTGTGTAAATACTGTAAGAGATGTTATATTTACATCGGGGATTTGTGCTTGCTTTGCCACCTTATTCCATTCAGACTTGTCAACTTTCAATTTCTTTCATGACTGGACTTAAAGAGGCCTTAGGTCCTAACCACATCCAGTGGCATCGCAACTCATGGTGTTTCAACCCCCACCCTCCCTGTCCCCAAGAATTATATATATATATATATATATATATATATTTATTTATTTATATATATATATATATATATATATATATATATATATATATATATATATATATATATATATATATATATATATATATGCTACAGAAAAAAAATTACTTAGGAACACAACGCATGCAAAATGAGTTAGACCTTCTGTCAGATTTTCCTTTCAAGTAAACTCAATATTTTTAACAGACAAACCAAGGGAATTAAGCAATGAATCCCACTACTTAAGTCAACAGGACTTTAGGAGGCCTTAGGTTCTAATCCGCATCCAATGCCATCGCAACTCATGGTGTTTCACCCCCCCCCCCCCACCCTCCCCGTTCCCCAAGAATTAGTGTATGTATATATATATATATATATATATATATATATATATATATATATGTATATATATATATATATATATATATATATATATATATATATATATATATATATATATATATATATATATATATATTTATTTATTTATATTTATATATATATATATATATCCTAATATATAAATCCCCACGTTCGCACATCTCTCTCTCTCTCTCTCTCTTTCTCTGTCCGCAAAAAATTTTCGCCGGACATCACGTCAGAATCGGCAGCGATATATCGAGAACTTTTTACGGACTTTTGTTGAAAATAATATGTTAGATGTTTTAAATGTATAACCACAATTTTAGTTAAAGAAGAAAAATAAAAATTAAAGGCGTATTCGAATGTAGAGAAACAGTATTATTTATGCAACCGGAAAAGCATTAATATATGTGAAAAAGAACGCATAAAACTGTGACGTCACTATTGCTTATACATTAACTAATGACGTCATCTGCCGTGTTTAGAATGAAAAGAAATGAACTATTTCATTCAAATTTGATTTAGATCTACGTACACTATGAAATGTATACAATACAATTTTTCCGGCCTAAACTCATAAAATTTATTTTATGTATTTGGATTCTAGATCTAGAGATTCTAGATCTAGACTAAATCTAAATCTAAATCTACGCAATAACTAGATCTAGACGTAGACGCTAAGATCTAGATTTAGACTCTAACTTCTCTAAAATCAATTCCAAAAATAAATTTCTATATTAGGACTAAACTATTTCAAGACTTATTTATTTTATACAAAATCTTTGTTTGGAACTGGCTAAATTGGGATAAAAAATTAATTTGAAAGAATAGGCATATTCGCGTAAGTTAAGATTTTAAAATACGTGTTTCATTCTCCGTATTTTATAAGGTGCCTAAATAGCGGAGATGTTAGTGTACATTTAACCACGCAGGTGGTGCGGGTTCGAGACACAGCAAGTCAACTTGGTTAATGTATTCTTTTTTATTATGCTCGGGCTAAACTTAAAAAAAAAAATTCTTTTAGGAATCTAGATCTAGATCTAGATTGTCGGGTGTCCGATAGGGCACTTCCCGGCGCCGCAGGCGCTTCAAATTTGGCAGGATCTTGCCTTGGGGCGACAGAACACGAGGGCCGGTTGGCCGAAAAGTCTACGATGAGGGGGTCAAAACTGACCTCGACTGACCGGCGCCTTATATGAGCTATAAATCGAAAAAAAAATGTCCACGGAGGAACCACTTCATAACTCTTGAGGTCGTAGACCGACCCTCGGGCGAATTAATAAAGCATTCAAATTCTCAATGTTTTCGAAAGCCTAAGCGAAGCTGGGCAGCATGCCTAGTATATATATATGCTACAGAAAAAAAATTACTTAGGAACACAACGCATGCAAAATGAGTTAGACCTTCTGTCAGATTTTCCTTTCAAGTAAACTCAATATTTTTAACAGACAAACCAAGGGAATTAAGCAATGAATCCCACTACTTAAGTCAACAGGACTTTAGGAGGCCTTAGGTTCTAATCCGCATCCAGTGCCATCGCAACTCATGGTGTTTCACCCCCCCCCCCCACCCTCCCCGTTCCCCAAGAATTAGTGTATGTATATATGTGTATATATATATATATATATATATATATATATATATATATATATATATATATATATATATATATATATGTATATATATATATATATATATATATATATATATATATATATATATATATATATATATATATATATATATATATATATATATATATAATATATATATATGTATGTATATATATATATATATATATATATATATATATATATATATATATATATATATATATATATATATATATATATATGTGTGTGTGTGTGTGTGTGTGTGTGATACAGTAAAAAAAATACTTTGGAACACAACGCGTACAAGCAAAATGATTTATTTTAAACATAAAATAGTTAAGTAACAATTACAGTTAACGTTCAGTCATCAATCTCTTCATATTCATTTGAAATAACTGCATAATCGGAATCCACTACATCAATATACACACTATCAACTTCTTCGATAACATCTATATATGCATTATCATCATCCTCTTTTGACCTATTTTTATTTCTGTTATCCTTGGTAAGCATTACTTTAAGTTTTTTCCTTTTCTTATCTGAGGACAAATAAATCATTTTTTGTTAGATATATTTTAGTTTAATTAAAACGAACACAATATATTTTATATGAACTGAAATCTAATGTTACCATGCCGTTTTATGTAATCGGCCGAAGAAAAAAATTCGTTTTGTAAAACGAAATACATTAAAACTGTATAGCTTACTTTTGTTATGCAGCGCGCGAGAAAGTAAAATAGCCGCTACAATAAGACCCACACCAGCTGCTATACAAGAAAACATGATGACATCAGCATAGGTAGTAAGTTCAACTGGATGAAAATGTAAATACGTTTCAAACAATTACTACTTTTTTGAAAATTTGAAAAAAAAAGGAATAAGAGAAACCAAAATGAAACTGATGGTGAAACAAATACCAAAATTACAATCTTTTATTAAGAGTTGTTTAAGTAATTTTTTCTCTGCTGTTTTAATGTCGACCCAAAACAAATTACAATAGGTATCATAACTACTAACTGGACAAATTAAAAAAACAGCTTTTAATTAATGCATTTCCTTTTTTTTAAACATTAAGAGCATTTTAATATTCTCTTTGTATTTTTTTTTTCAGATGTCTCTCATTCCGACCAATAGGGCCTACATTCTACAAAAACATCATACAGTTACATTGTAGTTTTAAAACAAAGTAATATAAAACAGCTAGATAATAAGATGAATCTTCTACGTAAACAGTAACTTAAGTTCAATAACTGGAATTCTGGCTTTCAGCAAAGTAAATAAAAACTGTTAAATTACTTATAAATTATTACCTTCATTAATAATAAGTTTGAACGCAAGACTAGTTTCAAATCCATTATAAATGTCAAAGCTGTAATGAGTAAAATCTTCTTCGCGTAAATTGTGAAATGCGATAAATATATCAATATTTGGTGGTAGCTGTTCACGATAACTGATGAAGAATGGCTGTAATCCTACACTGTCGTTGAAATCAGCGTCTCTGCCAAATATTGAGGTTATACCGTTTTTAGAAACTCGGAACTTGATGGGTAGAGGATAGCCATACACAGGTACGTTTACTGTTAGGTTTTCATGTAATTTTCCGCTGACAATTTTGTGTTTGTCTGAAACTTTCAACTGGAGAGGACCTGAGAAATTAGTTGATCAAAATCTAGTCACTGCTTTACAATTATTACATTTTATACTTTTATTTTAAAAACTGTATATGCTAACCGTAATTTCTAAAAGTGGAAATCAAATGGGGAAAAACACTTAAAAATGATAGAGCTATTTAGTTGAATGTGATGAAGTGAGGAAAGATTGTATGTCGTATTTTAAATATAATTTTATATCTGTGGTTAAAATGGGTCCAGTATTTGTATTTTATATTCTGGATAATGCTTCAAAAGTAATTTTACGTTTGAGATATCATTGTTAAAATATTTTTTTTCTATTTAGGCTTAATGCTCTACACTATTAAAATAGCATTTTCTTTTTGAAATAGGTGACCATTGTCCACCAAAATGTGACTTACAATTGATATAAATTTTAACCATCCTCTGTGATATAACATGGTGCTGCATCGCTTCACATACATACAAACCACCATCCTCGCATCTAAAACTCTGTCGCCAGACTAAACCCTGAACGCCCCTGGCAAAAATCACGTCTAGTGTGTTGGTTTTCTTGATAATCCGTAGCTGGGGCGTTGGGTTTCCTTCTGCTTCACACACAATAGTTACAGTTGATGAATTTTGCAATGCTAGTGTACTTTGGTTTAACCCATTGCTGGTGAAACGTATGAAACGTACGGGATCTAAATAAATATAGGTAATTGTAAATTAATAGCATAAAATAAACTGACAATTTAATATATTAAAAAGCGTAACAGAATATCACACGTAAGTTTACTATTCGTTTGAATAATTGTATAAGGCGTGTTTGCAAAGATGAGTTACTTTATTTGTAATTAACAGCACCGTTTTAATGCATGTAAATATGAAAGTATCGTACATAGAACATCTATCATGTACGATGTTGACTTTTGGTACCAGCTGTATTTGTCTGAGGCCGAACAAAAGCAGGAGGAGTTTGTCATGGACCGGTGCAGACTGACAATCACATCTGTAGTCTCGCCCCAGCGAGTGGCATTGACGCCCTCACACCAGATGTCAACACGAGATACAGCCGGGTTACCGCCTCTCGTCTGACAATGTAATCTGTAATAGCCCTCAGATATTTTTAAGATATTTTTCTCTGCGTATATTGAAAGGGATTGGTCGTTCAAGCGTATGAACTCTAAGATAATCTCTTCAGGGGCTTCTGAAATTATATTAAGGTTTATTGTAAAAGTTGCAATGGTGTGCTTATGATTTAACTATCTATATATTAATATTATATTATTTAAATGTAATGTTTTCTTATTAATACACTACGCTGTTTAAATGTGTACCTGAAATATAATGAAGTTGTAGAGAATAATCGTCTCAAAATGATAGCACATGCTAATTGAGGGGTAGGTGAACAGAAAGCGCCTTAACGTTTATAGTTACCTCCAAAGTTACATGCATTTTATTCCAGTATTTTTGTTAATCATTGTAACTATTTGAAGGATCATTTGATTCCGACTAGCTGTGAAGAACAGACTTTCTTCCAGGCATCTCTTCGGGGGGAGGAGGGGGGGGGGGCGGAGCCTCCCCGAAAAAAAGTCTACCGCCCCCACCCCCCCCCGAACCAGATGGAATTGATATAGTAAGCATAAACTTTTACTAGTGTCCGCCCCCCCCCCCCCGAAAAATGTTGACCGCCCCCCCCCCCCTCCCCCGAAAATATCGAGTGCCCCTCCGGAGAAAAAAAGTCTGGAAGAAACACTGGTGAAGAAGTTTTTTGCAATATAACGTTGTAAAGTAAAATTTTTTCTTTCACATCAAATAACCAACTACTCTCAAATTAAAGAAAAAGTGTTCAGAAATGTGTTGTCTTTTTTTCATAATAATAAATCCACAAAAAATCTTATGAAAAACAATTAAATATGATGCTTTAATTATTTTACATTTTAACAAACCTATTTTAAATTCAACTCTTTGAGTCACTCCGTATTCTGTGTCTCTCCGTGAATTAGTCACATTAGGATACATAGTTAGCATGAAAAAATAGTTCCCTGTTCCGAATAGGCTCTGTTGCTGTACGGAAACCGTACAGATTGATTTAAAGTAAATATTTTCACCCGGCAATTGAGTGTGCTGGTAGGTGTACGTCGTATTTCCTACAGGCATGTCGGTCTGTTAAAATAAAAGCACGTTATTTAATTTGTCAAACACTTAACTTCACTTTTTAAAAAAAATATTATGCAATACCTAAGCCTAAGAGGAGATGCAACAAGTATTTTATATTTCAAATATCATTTGATATGATGAACATGCTTGTGAATCATTATCATTCATTTGCATATATTTGCTGCTAAGGGTCGAAACTTCTTTATAAGAAAACTGTGCTATTGTTTTTCCGAGTTCAATGTCATTACAACAGTTGCTATTCAAATCGGCTTTCAGTTGTTAGTTAACCGGATCTAGTGTTATTTCAAGCAAGCCAGTAATAGCCTTACCCAATGGCGTCGCTAGGTCGGGTGTCACCCGGTGCGGCACCTTTAGGTATTACCCCACCCCGGTCGTTGACTGGCGTATTATTTGTTGAAAATATGAAAATAAACTTTTATTTCCTTTGTAAATTTAGCAGTTGGTATCACCCCGCCACCTCCCCCCCCCCTTTCAGGTGATAGTTTTAATGTGTGCAAAGTTAATAATAACCATGTTTATCCAGAGTTGGTAGTTAATATATTTTGATGTAGCATTGTGTTTTCTCTATAGTTATCATGTTTACGTCATTATGTACCCCCCCCCCCTCCAAACTTGTCAGGATCGTCAATTTGTACTTAAAATACTTTTTAACTCTATTTAATTTTCATTTGAACTAGCTAAAAGCATTTTCTTATATATATATATATATATATATATATATATATATATATATATATATATATATATATATATATATATATATATATATATATATATATATATATATATATATATATATATATATGGTCGTGGTGTCACCCCCCTTTCCCGGGTACAAACTTTCAATTTTCGATTTGCACCCCCCCCCCTCAAACTTTCGATTTGCACCTCTTAAAAGACTATTTAACACTCGAATTAATCACTTAATTAAGTGGAATTATCATTTTTCTCTATATATGTTGCTATTTTTTGCCTTGGTGTCAACCCCTTAAATGGTGTCACCCGGTGCGGTCTGCACCCCCGCACCCCCCTCGCTACGCCTCTGGCCTTATCCTATATTTCATAACAAGACCTGCCTCTGTCAGACGTTAGCTAACCGAATCTAACATGACATGACTATGAATCTAACATGACATGACTGTGAATCTAACATGACATGACTGTGAATCTAACATGACATGACTGTGAATCTAACATGACATGACTGTGAATCTAACATGACATGACTGTGAATCGAACATGACATGACTGTGAATCTAACATGACATGACTGTGAATCTAACATGACATGACTGTTAGAGCGAGCAAACGCCTTACCCCGTTGTACGACACCGACAGCGAGCACTTTGCTGGAGGATACACACTAGCTGTACTGCATTGAACGGTCAGCACTTCAGTCAGGACTGGTTGTTGACAGTGTAACGATTTGGCTTTGCCTTTGTGAATAGAAAAAGTTTCAAGGGGGCTATCATCAGCTTTCTTGCACATGAGACATGGGGCAGGTGAAGTAGAGTTCATCTGTTTCAAAGACCACGGCTTACATGGGTATAGTGTAGTCAGCGCTAGGCCCAGCCGTCTTTGCTTCCCCAACCTGAGTCGGGTACCATCAGAGCCAGCGATCCGAACTCGAGACTTTCGGTATAGCATTCGAAAGTTCTACTATCCGATTACGTGTCCCCACAAGAGGGCCATGGTCATATAGATTGAATGTGAAAAAGCGATTTGCTGTTATTGTAGTTACACTGGAGTCGAAAAAAATCTTTGACGTGAGTATGATTAAAGATCTAATTACATTAAAACAAACAGATAGACCTGTATTGTCATCGAAGTGGAACGTCTCTAGAAACTTTGAACACAATCGATGCATTTGAAGTGGGTCAAAATTGAGTTAGGTACCAGATTAGCCACACATTCACAAACATTGCGAAATAAATGAAAGCTTGCAAAAAGAAATAAATCTTACTGTAAACCTTCAAATCACATGACTGAATGATCTGGTAGTGCCCTCTGTAATAAGGACCAACGGTCCACAAGCCTTCAGCATTTTCCTTCAAATCTCGTGAGACGTTAGAAATGGTTAGAGTCAGGTGAGTGTTTACCCCGTCCAAAACTCTTGTGGTACTCAGCCAGAAAATGAAGGGATGGTTGACACAGTTACCGGGAGGGTAGCATTCAGAAACGGGCTCTTCATACTTTGACCACTGGATTACAGAGTCGCGTATTTGAGAGCTGCTTAATGTGATTGAAAGGTTGTAGATGGCGCCTTCTTCTGCTGGTTGACAAACTGAAGCCGCTGATTTTAATTGCAAAAAATTATTTACAATGGTAAATTAGAACGTTTTTTGTTCTAGTTTTTTTTTTATTTGGATACTTTTCAGTGACTATATTAAACAAAAGGGCCAAGGAAAACATAGAAGAGAACTGAAGCCAATAGGGATGTCTTGGGAGATGTCAAAATTAATAGCCGAGGATAGGAAGAAATGGAAGGAAATGGTGGAGGCCCTATGCTCCATAAGGAGAAAAGAGGACTAAGTCTCATGGGCACAGATCAGAGGAGCAGCCCAAAACCGAGCCCGCTGGAGATGTGTGGTTGCAGCCCTTTGCTCCCCAGGTGCCATAAAGGAGTGATGATGATTAAACTAAAGAGGAAAAAAGCCTTGAAAGCAAGCGCAAACAGAAAACATGCTAATAAATCTATAAGCTATGAAATAAGACACAAAAGACGTATAAAATAAAGTTTTATCTTAACATATTTTAATTATAAATTTTAAAAAACATTTTTAAAAAAATTAAAAACTGTTTAATTCAAGGTTTGGTGTTATTGTTAAAACTTGTTGTTTTTTACATATCCTATCAGACACGATTGAGCTTAAAGACGAAAGAGTATGATGTATTGATTCTTTCATGCCATGAACCAACACACAATAGACTAAAGAGCATACATACAACAAAAAAAAAGATAACTAAAAATATTGAGCATAATTTTGAACAGACCTTAAAAAATACTATTTCTTTATTATAAAAATGATACTCAATAATAAAGTAGTATAAAATAATTTCTTGACACAAAACTGAAATGATAAATAATCTTTTTAATGGAGAGAGTATAAACAATGTTTTATCTTTTGGCTTAAAGTACAGAGATGTTTAAAGTTCTAGGCAAACAGGTATGAAAAACTGAGAATCTGCTTCAGGTATTTGAAAAATTGGGAATGTACTTCAGATATTTGAAAAATTGAGAATGTGCTTCAGATATATAAACAAGTTAATTAAAAAGTCTAGTGACAATTTTAGCGCAATTTCCTTATGTACGCGTCATCACGTTCAATAGATGCGTCATCACGTTCCATGGCTGCGCCATCACGTTCAGTAGGCGCGCAATGGTTTTTAGTCATATAACTCTATTGTTTTTAAAAAATGTAAAAAAATGATTAGGCCTTGCGAAACAAAACCTTGTAATTGTAACTCCCTATCACTCTCATATAAATTATAAATAAATTAATAGGGTACAAAAATAACGTTTGAATTAATAAGTAAATAAGTAATTTAAAAAAATCCTTTCCAACCTCAGCGCTTTGCGCTAAAAACCTACAAGACGCTCAGTTTAAATTAAAACTAGGCCTACAAGACGCTCAGTTTAAAATATATTTAAAAAATTTTGTGACCGAACGAAAGGATATTTTTGAAAACTTTCTTCGGCAATATTGGTTTAAATTATGGCAGGAATCGATTGATAAATGTTTCAAGTCGCTAAGTGGTCTGGTTGCCGAAATATAGAGCAAAAACTGCATTTGTTCGAGGTTTTTTGGCTTTTCCGGGAAATCCAAGAAAGAAACCCGGAATTTTTTTGGCCTATGTTAATCGTCGTAACTAGCTTAACATAATTGCTTTTGGAACTAGTCCTCGATATTGCTTCGTTGAGGAGGAGACACGACTTAAAGCTGCGGACACACATCCATCCATCCATTCATACATCCAGAAACAAGGTAATTAAAAAGTCTAGTGACAATTTTAGCGCAATTTCCTTATGTTATCTAAAAATAGCTCTGTCGTAGCGTAAATCAAGAGCAGGGTTAGTAAAACCATTGGTTAAAATACATGTTTTATTAACAATAGAGTTACATGACTAAAAACCATTGCGCGCCTAGCTACTGAACGTGATGACGCGTGTGGTGTGGTTGGAAAAAATGCCTACTAATTCGGTCCAAATTTTAATTAATTCAAAAATTTTTTGTGACCGAACGAAAGGATATTTTTGAAAACTTTCTTCAGCAATATTGTTCTAAATTATGGCAAGAATCGATTGGTACATGTTTCAAGTCGCTAAGTGGTCTGGTTGCCGAGATATGGGCCAAAAACTGCTTTTTTTCGAGGTTTTTTGGCTTTTCCGGGAAATCCATGAAAGAAACCCGGAATTTTTATGACCTATGTTCATCCTTGTAACTTGCTTAACATAATTGCTTTTGGAACTAGTCATCGATATTGCTTCGTTGAGGAGGAGATACGACTTAAAGCTGCGGACACACATCCATCCATTCATTCATACATTCATACATCCAGAAATGACGGGTTAATAAACGCAATTCTCCAGAATGGAAATTGCGCTAATGACGGGTTAATAAACGCAATTCTCCAGAATGGAAATTGCGCTAAAAAATTAGAATTTGCTTTAGATACATAAAAAATTGAGAATGTGCTTCATATATCAAAAATTGAGAATGTGCTTTGGATATAACAAAAAATGAGAATGTGCTTCAGCAAGTATAGATTGATATCATTATTCTAAAAATTTAAACAAGGTGTTACTAACCAGAAATTAAAGTATTCCAAGTCATGGACATTATCAACCACATGTACATGGTAGCTCACTTTTCTTTTAAAACAATATTATCAATAGTAATGTTAATAACTTCAGCAATGAGTCAGCAAAGTCAGAGCTCATTTCAGGGGCGGAACTACAGTGCCGCCAGACCCCGCAATGCGGGGGGGGGGGGCCCACGCCATTTAGGGGCCCACAGCCGAACATAATAATTTTTTTATAGTTAAAAAAAATAATTTTCTTGCAAATTAATAATATAAATACAAAGAAACATAAAAATAAACAACACCAGACACCATTGCTTATAGAAAGCTTTTATGTTTTATATGATTTTGACCACCTAGAGGTTAAGAGGTCATATAGCAGAAATAAAATAAAACTGATTTCCCAAAACACACTAATGCACTTACACACATGACATGTTGTTGTAATTTGTTTTAATTGAAATTTTTTTAAGGCCAGGCCAGCAATGAGTATCCTATATTAGTATTTTGTGTTTGTATATATATATATATATATATATATATATATATATATATATATATATATATATATATATATATATATATATATATATATATATATACATACATGTAGGCCTATATACATATATAGGCATATGGCCTATATGTATGGGGGAGAGGGGCCTAAAAAAATTTTTGCGGGGTGGCCCTTTTTTTCTAGTTCCGCCACTGGCTCATTTCTATGAGATAATTTTGCTGTTTAATAAAGTTAAGTTAGGCCTATACATTTAAAATTGAGAGTATTTTGATTACTATTATAAGTGATAAAAACTGAAACAACTTACTTTAAGTATGAATATTATTGTAATACTTTTAGGATCAATACTAAATATAGCAGATGTCCAATTAAAAATAATTAGGTTAGTAGGTTTAAACTTACCTTTTACAAAATACAGAAATTAAGGCTTCTAGAACATCATAAACAGTCAAATTTAGTTTTATCTATGCTTTAATACAAACAAAAAATAAATGTTAAGAAGCCTACACTATAAAAGCGGTAAAATATTTTAATTCATAGAATGTAATACACAATGTAAGTATTAATCAAGGAATTAAAATGTGCTTTCTATAAATTATTGTAATTTTTTTTAAAGAAGGCTACACAAAGCTTAAATAAATTTTCATCTGCTACATGATCAGTGATAAGTTATAACAGACCCTATAATATAATGCTCTGAATCTGGACTGCTATAGGGTAATCAAGGCTCAAGACACTAGTTCTGCTGCCTTAATTTGCTGCCTGAAATGCTACATAGTAATTTAAGTAGAGCTCCTGGTTAATATAAGTGCAATTCAAACATAAATGGTCGTCAAAATATAACGCATGTTAAAGCTAGTGGGTTTTTTAAATAGTATTCCTAAATATTTGGTTTAAAAAAAAAAAAAAAAATTTGAAGCATTTTAAAACACAAAACCATGACTCAAGATTATAAGAACACTTAGGGCGTTGACTCAGGAAATCAGTGAGAATAGTAAATACTTTACAAAAGTACAAAGTAACAAAAAACTTAAAGTGTGGTTAAACTGTTAATCATGATAAGAGTTAAATTATTTTAACAACCAAAAACACTTTCTATTGTATCATTGGAATGTATGCACTATAAATAAATGTATCAAAAAGACATACATCAAAAGGCATAATTATGTTATAAACATAAATTTAAAAATATTTTCTGCTTGCATCATTATTAGCCATCCATTTATAATGTACACACATTTAGAATTTAGACCCCCCTCCCCCTGTACACTTTGGATGACCTCCCCCACTCCATTTAATAATTCAATAGCATGGGTGATATTTGTGTACCTTGCAATATTATTAAAACTATAGTGATCTATTTTTTTCAGTATTGCCTATTATTAAATATTAAAAATAGAATTTAGAGTGTGTTGAAAAAAAAAAAAAATTCAAATATAATAGCATATTGTTTTATTTCAATAATATTTTTTCCCCAAATCAACTCAAAATTTAAGCAGAAAAACAACATTAACATTTTGTATAAAAAAGTTATAAAATAGAATTTATTTTCTGTAGTCATACACTATATTATAACTAGTTGTAAATCTACTTTAGGCTCTTGCTAAAACATTTTGATATACAGTCCATAATTTAATTCTATGCTGAGCTATTTTAATTTTAAATAAGGATATTGCCATTTAAGTGTATACATTTTGTATGGAAATCAAATAAAGTTTAAATTGATGTAGTGATTAATTGATTTACTACTAAAATCAACATGCAAATATTCACACTGATTCCAAACGCCCACTAACCCATAACAGTTTGTCAACCTCCTCAAAAAATACATTTTCGGGGCAGACAGTCAATCCAATCGATGAACCCAGTACAAAAATTTACATTTTGGGAAAAAAGAAGTAAATCCTAAAGAATAATATTTCACAAAGATAGTAGATTAGTGTAAAATAATGACAGCTAAAATTATACATTTTAAAAAGACAAAATTACTCTAAGGGTATAAAAAAAAATGTTATGCAAATTGCTTTTAAACAATTAATAGTGTGAATTGAATTACTAAACCAATTTAAAATTCAAGAATTTTACAACAGTTTGCTAATTAATTTTAGCAAGAATAAAATACACAAATAAATAAAAGAAAAAACAAATTTAAAAATTATCACAATAATTTTAGCATTTGTAAAAAGAGAGTATATTTTTATATATTTAAAATTATCCTACAGAATAACATGTACTATTTCTGTGATGCATATATTAGATGTTGAATGAAATATTCATAGCTTTTAAAAAAATTATGTATTAATTTACGTCAAATGTATTAATCTGGGCTTACTTAAACAGAAATATTAAACAATTTATCAATCTATTCTTCTTCTTCTTCTTCGTTCTTAATTATTAGTCTTGAAGGGGATCGAGATTTATCTGCCAGTGGGTTTGTACTCGATACTTTGTTCGAATTTATCAACCATGAGCTTTTTGCCGACTCGACCATGCCTGCAACACAATTAAGCGTAACGTGTCAACTGGTTATGCGCCATTAAGGCCATTGACTCCGATTTCAGCCTGCTTTTCTTTTTTGGATTTGCTTCCATAGCCTTTGTCCAACCAAGAACAAACTACAAGGCAGCAGTTGTTTAATTTTGGAGTTGTCTCTCCTAGAATAGTGGCTGTCCCCAGCTAACGAGCCTCATCTGCCCGAGGGTTCGAACTCGAGACTTTTCGGTT